ACATACCTGGTAATGAAATATTATCTTCTTCTGTACAACAATCTGATTATGCTAGCTGTTGTTCACAATGTCAAGCAACTTCTGGATGTATTGCTTTCACATATGCGCCATCAAGTCAACGATGTTCGCTAAAAACAAGTATGGGCAGTGGTGGAAACTCAAATGGTGACAGTATCACTGGATATAATCGTGAGTGTATCAATTCTATGTCAGAAATGCCGTGTAGTGAAGAGAGAACTTCATGAAACAAGATTAGTTCTTCGAAGTTTACTTGATGATTTGAAAAACATTTGAGAGAAAACTAAAGTTTGGACAAGTTTCGTGTGATACGTTTTTTTTGGCGATAAGTTAACATATACAATATGGAAAAATTTCTCTTTGTTAATGCAAGATATTCTCTGTGACTAAAACGCAGAGTCTAAAAGATGAATATGTGTGTTTGTCAGTTTTCACTATTTCTTTAAGAATGTATTTCTTCTTACCTATAATCAACATGAGGAACTCTCACTGGCAGTCCACACTGAACTAAAATGACCTTATGGAACTCACAAGGTCCCATTTCACTGTATCATCTCTTTTAAGGTATCATGGAAAATCAAACAAACATTTAAAGCTTTTGTAATCTATGAAGCTTCGTGTGAAAATAATAAAGGTTTTTCAAATGAAAAAGATTTTGTAGTATACCCAGGGAAAGTATCGTAGTAGAGAGGCTTCTCACCAGACTTAGTTTTTTCTTGCTCCTACTATGTTTAATACGGTGGACGTTCGCGAGTATACAACTCAGATGATCAGATGTTGCTTTTGTTTTCTAGCGACTTATCTTCACTCTAAAATCGATTGTAAATAATTAATTACTAATGCCGGACTTTTTTAAAAAGTATTAACGACGATTTTTTGAATAAATTTTCAACGGTACAAGCTACAGAGGTCGCGTTTTCACCGTTAGCGAGAGCACCGTTGGTGACGTCGATCTGTATAAAATTCATTAGGTTCAAAGATCTTTTGTATAGTTGTTTGCAGTCACACATCTCTTTTGTCGTCTATTTTCATGAGTTTTCGTGACAAGTTAACATCAATTGAGACCAAAATGTAGCCCAAATCGTCCTGTATTTGAGCTAAAATTTTCATGTTTTAACACCAAAGCGTAAGGAAAAAACTCAAGATTAAAACGTAAAGAGTTGAAAATTTTAGCTCAAATACAGGACGATTTGGGCTACATTTTGGTCTCATTTGATGTTAACTTGTCACGAAAATTCATGAAAATAGATGACAAATAAGATGTCTAACTGGAAACAACTATACAAAAGATCTATGAACCTAATGAATTTTATATACATCGACGTCACCCACTTTGCTCTTGCTAACGGTGAAAATCGAAACTCTATAGCTTGTACCGTTGAAAAATTATTCAAAAAATAGTCGTTATTGCTTTGAAAAAATTCGGCATTAGTATTTAGGATTTACGAGTAGCGCAATGACGACAGAATAGGAAAGAGGAAAGCACACATTCGAGTAAGAACACATTGAATATGGTTACTCTTTCCAATCTTTCATCTGCAGAAAAAGTGCTGTTAACATTATTCTTTCATTTGTCTTCTCACAGCGAATATGTGTGGTGGTTTTGTACGTAAATACGCCTGGGACATACCTGGTAATGATATACTATCTTCTCCTGTACAACAACCTGATTATACTAGTTGTTGTTTACAATGTCAAGCAACTTATGGATGTAGTGCTTTTACGTATTCGGTATCAAGTCAACAATGTCGGTCGAAAACGAGTATGGGCAGTGGTGGAAACTCAAGTGTTGATACTATCACTGGATATAATCGTGAGTGTCTCAATTTCCTGTTATGAAGTGTCGTATAATGAGGAGAGAACCTCAATAAACGAGACTATTTCCTCAAAGTTTACTTGATGATGGAAAAAACGTTTGAAAGAAATCGAAATTCTGCACAACTTTCTTGTGATACGTTTCTTGATGAAAAATTAGAATATACAATGTCGGAAAATCTTTCTGTGTGAATGAAGGAATTTCTTCGAATCTATAAATGAGAATCTGAAAGATTGATATCTACCTGATTGTTAATGTGATACATTTTCAATCAGAATCTGTTGCTTCTTAGACATAACTAACACGAGGAACTATCAATTATGGGTAAGCGAAACGAAGAGCCTCTTTATATGTCTGTTACCGGTTTTTCTTCTCCTTTCTTTTAGAAACGTCACTCAAGAAAAAAAAATTAGATGTTTCGCTCTCTTTATTGCAACAAGCTTTCGTTAATATAAAAGGTGAAATATTCTGTTTCTGATTTGCGAAATAACATTGAACGGATAAGAAAAGAAAAACAAAATGAGAAAGCAGAAAAAGAAAAGGACAGATTAGAAAATGAAAAACGCTCATGATGAGACCAAACTCGCGTCCTTGCCGCCAGCAAGGACAGATTCAGGCAGCTGTGTCACTGCATAACTTGGTTTTTAATGCTATTTTGCTTCAAGTTTTCGGAAACGCTGCTTCTGATTTGTGAACATAAAGAAAATTAGGTTTAACTAAAATAAATTTGTTTTAAATCATCAATTGATTTGCACTTGACAATTTCACTAGTTTTCTCTATGACAATTAAATATGACAGTTATATTTCTAAAGATTTCATAAAAAAGATCCCATATGAGTAATAAGTGATTTTCAAAACTTTAAGTAACAATTAATTTTTTTGTCTTAAGAGAAGACGCTGCAATTTGTAGAAAACGTAAGTTTTTTATCAGAAAACTTAGCTGAATGTAGTGGAAATGCTGAAATTTATAGTAACCTATAATGTACGAGGAATGACTATGGCTTTGGCATTAGCTAAGAAGAATTTCAGTAAAAATCAAAGCGAAGTTTCACAGAGATTTCATCG